GTGTTAATATTCAAAGAGGTTGAATTAATAACTAATCAGACTGCAATTGAGTTCTTGTAGGCTATGTGAAAATTCCTTGATATTGGGTATTATTATTATTATTATTATTATTATTATTATTATTATTATGATTGTCAGTCACTAATTTGCTCGTGGGAAAATTCAATATACTATTCACAAAATGAATTTAAACAAATTAGTTATAACCAACAGATTATAATTTATCAGAAAGGGGTTTTGTGAAGATCTTAGTAATTTAATAATTGAATTCATGAGTGAATTAAAGCTAGAACACCATAGAAAACCCGGAAGCACTCAAAGATCGTTTCGTCCTATTGTGGGACTCCTCAGAAGTGCGCACCCACGACCCCGCCTCGCGGGATTCGAACCCAGGACCGTCAGGCGCTTAACCAACCAGACCACTGAGCCGGCAGGCAACGGTGTCAATGTCTAACTTCAACCAGTCCACAAAATTGAGTGACACATCCACCATTGTCTTCAGTGAGTTACTTCCTCACAACAGACCCGGTTGAACTCCACTGGTCACTGCTTCTCATTGGAACTCCAGAATATACCTCTTGAAGCCAGTCACTAGTGAGCATATGTTGTTTAGTATCAGAGGGGGTTTTGTGCATAATGTAGTAATTTCAACAGTTGATATCTTAAGTTAATGGAAGCTAGACCACCATGGAAAACCTAGAAGCACTGAACAGCTATTTCATCCCATTATGGGACTCCTCAGCAGTGCATGAGACCGATAGGTCCTGGGTTCGAATCCCATGAGTGGGATCGTGGATGCGCACTGTTGAGGACGAAACAGCCATCCAGTGCTTTCAGGTTTTTTTATGATAATCTAGCTCATGAATTCAACTATTAAATTATAATTTATTTAACAGGATCATTATCATACCACCTGATCACTTCCGATTTCATAATCCCATCGAAATCTTTTTTATAATTATTCAAAACATTGAATTGAATGACTAGATAAGTGTGTTAAATTTTGGCTACATTACACTAACAATGTTATGATTTTCCTACTTACCCTCACTAAATATTAATCCCTTAACATTACTAACTGTATATCCCAAAACAATCGGTAACCCATGCAATATCGATTCCTTAAAGTATCAATCAGAATACCAAAAAAAGATACAAACTGAGTAAACGCTTTATGATTTATTTACTGTTATTTACGACTGGTAAGAAATGCAGTAACAGTTACAAAGTTAAATAGCTGTCAATTAAGACAATATAAAAACATTATAATACAAGTGATTAGTTGAGGTACAAAAAAATATACGTACTGAATTCCCAAAGAATCACCTCCTTTTTGAGATGGTAGAGAAGATTTGTAGCTTAGATGGATGATATTGATGGAGTTTTGCTAATTAATTAACTTTTACAATTCTAGTAGTTAAATCCATGAATAAATCTAAGTTAGACTATCACTGAAAACCCTACAACACTGGACAGTCGTTTCGTCTCAATATGAGGCTCATTGGCAGTGTTCATTCACAATACCACATGTGGGACAAGAAGCCAGGATCTTCTCTCTTACGACCAGACGCTCAACCTCTAAATTAGTAACTCAACATCTAACGATGTTAATGTCTAACTTCAGTCGATCCATGATTTTGCACAACCCTTCTGATGGTGGTCTGAAGTGCATAACTGCCTTCACCCAACACGGATTGAACTCACTAAAAATTCCAGGAAATTACTTCACCCCTCTTTCATAGACTATTTTCTTACACTATAATTTTCGATCATTACATAAATTCGATTCGATACATAAAAGTAGTTATATCACCTTTATTTTTTCTTCTGTCTAGACCGTTGTATACACTAAATATAGACTACTTTTTCTTCATTGAAATATCGTCCGCTTTTTTAATGAAGTAACAAATTCCTATTAGTTATTAGTTACTTTCTATTTACATCACATTGCAAAGTATTACATAACTTAGTAATTGACACTATTAACAACAACAATCTACTATGGGAGAGAACAAACTTGATCCCAGCGGAGGAAGATATTAAGATGAAGTGGATAGGGCACACATTGAGGAAAGCACACAACTGAGTCACAAGTCAAGCCCTCACTTGGTATCTTCAAGACCAAAGGAGGAGGAGAGGAATACCAAAGAACACATTACTCTGAGAAATGAAGACAGACATGATAAAAATGAACAAGAATTGGATGGAACTAGAAAAGAAGGCTGAGGACAGAGTGTGTTGGAGAATGCTGGTCGGCTGCCTATGCTCCATTAGGAGTAACAGGCTTAAGCAAGTAAGTAGTTATTGTTTAATAATAAGTAGATCATAAGTAGATTAGTATGTTGTATGAAAAATGTTTTCTTTCTTAAAACTGAACTATTTATAAACATTACTGTATTAAATTTTAGTAATAAACATAGTAAAGCCAAGAATCAAATATCAAATTATAAACCTTCATTCAACACTCTCTATTTCTCTATGTCATCAATTCATATTTGCAATTCCTCTATTTTATTGTCTTTATATTACAGAAAAAAGATGGAATCAATGGTTTGAAAACTAGACCCAGTGACTTGATTAAACGAAAACTTTAAGTTAAAACAATAAATAAATCTGATTTTCCCATATAGTACATTATATGAAATGGTTATGACAATGTTGAATATGTCGCTCAATTTCGCGGATTAGTTGAAGTTAGATATTAATACCGTTGGGTGACGGCCGGCTCAGTGGTTTAGTGGTTAAGCGCTCGCGCGCGAGACTGATAGGTTCTGGGTTGTAAATGCTCACTGCTGAGGAGTCTCGCAATAGGAAGAAACGGCTGTCTAGTGCTTTCAGGTTTTCTATTGTGGTCTAGCTTTAATTGACTCATGATTTCAACTAATGAAAAATGAAGTAGTTTGGAAATATTTGCACTACTTATCAAAGAGTTTTCCAGGGAAGAATTAGAATTCTGCTGACTCATAGTAAGTGTGAAAATAAAGCATTTATATTCATTTTGTATTGATCAATCTCTTATTAGCATATGTTCATTCCGTACGGATTGTACTCTCAAACATTAATGGGAAGATTTTAACAACCGATACAAAATGAATCTAAACTTTTCCCATTCCACAAGCTAGTGGATATTTGGACTCAGTGAATAAAGCGATAATGTTTAAAGTAAACGGTACTGGATTCGAATCCCAGCGTGATGCCGGTACATCCAACTAACGAATTCCAAATAGAACAGAAAGCGAGTCCTGTATTCCATTGTTAGCCACCATCCGTGTTTGCTTACAAAACATTTATATGGTATTATAATGTTCTCTTTGTAACAAATTTCTAAATACTATTAATACTTCAGTATATTAAGGTGATAAAATCCAACAATTTAATTGACTAAACATAAACCACTAGGACAAAACGTTTGTTCAGTGCTTTCAGGTTTTTCATGATGGTCTAGCTTCAATAGACTCATGAAGTAAACTATTAAAATTACTATAATATCCACAAATATTCCTCTTTAATTATAAAATGTTTGTAAAAGCTATTACGTAATATAATAATATGGTTACAAATGTACTCTCATTATTATCATTTTATTTCTATTCAACTCATTGTATATTACTGAATAGTAGATTATTTCTTTTAAATAATCATTCTTATTCTATTTTGCATAATACCCAGAAGTTAGAAAACAGAACGTTAACTTTAATATCTTGCTTAAATGAACCTGTGATATAGTTCAACTGATGAACACACTTAATTCAGGTCTTAATGGAAACCACAATAGTCAAATAGATGTTCATTTCAGTTCAGTTAATTCAAATGAATACTAAAGAATCAACATGTAAATACATTGATTATTGAGACATTTTATCCAAGTTGTTCAAATGTCAGTGGATATTAAAAATAGAAGGTCAACTAGACTGGAAATGAGGAGGGCAAGAGGAGACAATAATAATAATAATAATAATAATAATAATAATAATAATAATAATAATAATAATAATAATAATAATAATAATAATGGGTTTGAATCTCGCAGTGTGCAGGATCGGGGATGCGTACTGCTGAGGAGTCCTATACTAGGACGAAACGGCCGTCCAGTGATTCTAGGTTTTCCATGGTGGTCTAGATTCAATTGACTCATGATTCAAATCAAAAACTTAACAATCTCCACAACCCCTAAATTGATAATATTATTAATATTAATAGTAATAGTGTGAAAACAATTTGAAACTTAGTCACTCCGGATAATAAGTCAATATCACCAAGGTAGGTTTAAGATGAGGACAAACTGTTTTCTGAATACACAAAAAGGGGTTTTGGATTTTCGTATGGCTAAGGCTTCAACAAACCTTAGTATACGCTCTTTTAAATAGATATTAAATTATTTCTGTCTTGATTATTAATAAAGAAAAGATTTAAATCTTTAGAATTATTATTAAATGAAACTGAAGTCAATTGTATCTAAACAATAGTGGTATAGATTTTATTTTGATTAGATGAATTTGACTTTTATGAATGATCAATTATAATCTAGTTGTATGAATAATGATAAGATAGAAATAAGTTGAATTCAATTGTGTTTTGTAATTATTCAGACTGAAGCAGGTCGTTTTCTTAAAGGATCATACCTGGAGCTTTCGACCTAAAGATTTGATTCATAAGGTAGTGAAGAAACGTCAGGAGATGAAATCTCATTGTAGCCAATTTTATCCTGGTTTCCTAGGGTTTTCCATCTCCCCTATATGGATTCTTTATATCGACTGACTTGTTTAAAGCGTCGGATACTAGCTTTTCATAATCTCAATTTCATAAACTATACTTCCGACACAAAAAGGCAGTGAGTAGGATTTCATATATATATACGTGGCTATATGAGAGTATTTCAAAAGGGATAGTAAACTATCTTTCTCTCTCTCTACCCTTAGCCGTACCAAGATATTTGAAGTCAATAATTATTAACAATTTATAATAGACATTAATTAAAGTTATATATATATCTAATTTACCTGGATCATGTACTTTAACTAATACAAAATCTTTTATATAATTTGATTCACCACGTTGTAAATGTCTTTGTAATATACGTCTTGAACCAATTTTCACTTGTTTTAAATCATTACCCATAGAACCAGTTGAATCAAATACAATAGCTAATGATATAGCTGATATTGGTATTGAATCTTTTATATTAAATAATGTTAAATTAGATGATTTTTTTTGTATATTTATTAAATTCGATGTAAATATATCATATTCATTGAATTGATGATTTATTTGATGATCTAGATCATAATCATTATTGATTGATTGTTGACATGTAACAATCAGATCATTAATTGATATGATCATATAAATAAATCCAAATTTTATTAAATATTGCCAATATTGATCAATGATCATTTTGATATTATTTGAAAGATTTTTAATTCAATTTTTTTTCAAAAAAATTTTCGCGCGATTTTATTGAAAGGCATAGAAACAAAAGTTAAGATAGATACATGATTATTATTATTATGACTTAGTAACTAGGGTGAAAATGAATTGAAGTTTAATATTGGTGTTTTCTTGGAATGAGGCATTTATTTATTTATTTTTGTTTTTTTTATTTTTTTATTTTTTTCGTATTCAATATGATGCATAATTTAGAACCAATCTTTACTGTTTATTTATGCAATCAGAAACTTTTATCAGTATAGTCATTGTAGTCGTCGTCGTCGTCATTATTATGATTAGTTTGTTATTGTTAGTGTAATTAGTGTTATGGTCAGTGTGTTACAACCGGCACAAATGTCTATGTATGTATGTATGTATGTATGTGTGTATGTATGTGTATGTATATGTATGCTTTCATCATAAATAGAATTGTAGAAATCGACATAGATGCCTTCTTTATGTATATATGAGACTTTGTATCCTATATACAAATATGTTACTAGGTTGACTAACACTGATTGTTTTGTCTGGTAAAACATGTAGGGAAAGAAAATCAATATGAACATTTTAAATATTATGTACATGTGCATGAAAAAATAGTGAGGTAGATAGAGAAATTATGGGAAGAAAATAGTGTGTATGGGGGGGGAGGTGTTGAGGAAGAACATTTATACTGATGTATGTATAGAGCGTATATACATAATATGTGCAAACAGTTGTTTTTGTAGTTGCATTCATATGCATTGTGTAAAATGTTTCCAATCATTTTATAATGAAATCAATAAAGATAGGAAAAAACAAGCATGAGTGCCAAAGTATTTTGTTATGATTACTGGTCGATGACAAATAAAAACAAAAAATATCTATCTATCTGAATAATGAACAAAAATATGAAAGTTTACTTGGTGTTGTTTGGCTTGTATCTTCCCATTGAGGTTTAAGACTGCAATTGATCAGTCGAGATTTAGATGGTGGTTGGAGGTAGTCAACAGGAAACCCTGGACCCGGGTTTCGTGCTACTTGGCACTCGTTGACTACCTCCAACCACCATCTAAATTTCAATACATAGTGCCCGCAGTGTCGAGTCACCTAGACTGGTGGCCACATTGCAACATGATCGATAGCATTCGATCTGCACTAATAAGGACTAGACAAGCAAGACATTGATCACTACCCAGTGATCAATCAATTGTAATTGATCAGTCTGTTATTGGTATATATGCATACTGTGTGGATTGCCTCGATATTGCTTTCATTCACAGGCTTTTTGTAAGCAATGATGGTGGCCTTCAGGACTTAGTAGCTGAGTGGATAATGCGATGGCTTTTGAAGTGAATGGTACTGGGTTCGAGTACCAGAATGAAGATCAACTCTGAGATGCAAGTACATCCAGCTGACGAGTCCCAAATAGGACTGGATTCCACTGCTAGTCACTATCCACTATTGCTTACAGCTAAGATAATAATTGGAAAAAATTGTACCATACTATAAATTGAATGAAACTCAGTAATCTCTATGGGCATTATTGGTAATTATAAGTTATAATTGCTATTTTGTGGTAATTGACATTTTAGTTTCTTAATTAGTCTCTAAGATAAAACAATTGTTCACTTTTTTTTCTCCTGGAGATTAATCATTATTTATATGAATTCAGTTGATTATGATGAAATTTACATAGTTACACTTGTTACTCCTCGTGGAGGAGTACAGACCACTGTTATCCAACTTTATCCTGAACAATCTTGTCTAATTCTTTTTAGTTGCTATTCATCCTTTTTCATGTCTGCTTACAATTCTCGATGTAGTGTTTGTTTTGGTTTTCTTCATTTCTGTTTCCCTTTACGATTCCGTTGATGATTTCTGCAATATATGCATGATTATGATGAAAACTTCACTTAAGTTGTACAAGATCTTTACAAAAGCACAAACAAAGCATTATATCATTTAAAATAGTAACAAATATATGAACTTCGATACTGTAAACGTACCATATATACATTTCGCTATAAATCACTTAATAGATACTTTGTTTTAAACATCAATTTGATCAGAATTATACACAAGTTTGCTAACAACTACTGAACGTACACGAAATCATAGATTTATGAGTCCAAGCGACTGCATTTAACTATATAATATCTCATTGAAAACCAAGAAGAAATAAACAGCTTTTAAGTCCTAGTGTTGACCTTCTCATTAGCTCACATCCATGACCACATCAGGGATCAAACCTCGGAAATTCAGGCATCTTGCCAAATGTTTGGTCTTTGAACCATTGTTCAGGTATCTAATGATATAGTTTTGACTTCAACGAATTCGGGATATTAAGTGACCATCGTACACTAACATTGTTCACATTTATCTCATGTATATGGTTAAAGTCCATTGGTCACTGCTTCACACTATATGGTGGATGTACAATATCGTAGATAGATTAGAGTTAAAAATATGAAGTTAAGTTCTCATCATGAGTTCTGTATATCCTAAGCTCGACATATGATATAATACCAGGAAGAAATAACTGACCTTTGTAACCTGGTTTCAAAGATCATTTGAACAAAATCAGTCTGTGATATACTTACTTACTTACTTACTTACGCCTGTTACTCCTCGTGAAGGAGCATAGGCCGCTCACCAGCATTCTCCATCCAACCCTGTACTGGGCAATCCTTTCTAGCTGCGTCCAGTTGTAATTCATCCTTTTCATATCTGCTTCTATTATCCGACGCAATGTGTTCTTTGGCCTTCCTCTTGTTCGCTTCCCTTCAGGATTCCAAGTTAGGGCTTGCCTCGTGATGCAGTTTAAAGATTTGCGTAATGTATGTCCTATCCATTTCCATCGTCTTTTCCTAATTTCTTCTTCAGCTGGAAGTTGGTTTGTTCTCTCCCACAGAAGGCTACTGCTGATGGTATCCGGCCAATGGATGTTGAGTATCTTGCGTAGACAACTATTTATAAATACTTGTACCTTCTTGATGGTTGTTGTTGTAGTTCTCCAAGTTTCAGCTCCATACAGTAGAACTGCCTTGACGTTGGCATTGAAGATTCTCACTTTGATATTGGTTGAAAGTTGTTTTGAGTTCCATATGTTCTTTAACTGTAGGAATGCTGTCCTTGCTTTGCCAATCCATGCCTTTACGTCTGCATCTGAACCTCCTTGTTCATCGATTATGCTTCCCAGGTATGTGAAGGACTCTACATTTTCCAGAGTTTCGCCATCAAGAGTGATTGAATTGCTGTTCTCCGTGTTGTATTTGAGGACCTTGGTTTTCCCCTTATGTATGTTGAGGCCTACTGATGCAGATACTGCTGCTACACTGGCTGTCTTTATCTGCATTTGTTCGTTTGCATGGGATAGGAAGGCTAGGTCATCTGCGAAGTCCAAATCGTCTAATTGATTCTGAGCTGTCCATTGAATTCCGTGTTTTCCTTCAGATGTCGAGGTCTTCATAATCCATTCGACAACCAGAAGAAAGAGGAAGGGAGAGAGTAAACAGCCTTGTCTGACTCCGGTCCTTACTTGGAATGCATCTGTCAGCTGTCCTCCATGCACGACTTTGCACTGTAGTCCGTCGTATGAGTTCCGGATAATGTTGACAATCTTCTCAGGAACTCCGTAGTATCGAAGAAGTTTCCATAACGTCCTCCTATCCACACTGTCAAATGCCTTTTCATAATCAATGAAGTTGATGTATAGTGATGAGTTCCACTCAACTGATTGTTCGACGATGATCCGTAGTGTTGCAATTTGGTCTGTGCATGATCGATCCTTACGGAATCCAGCTTGTTGATCTCGAAGTTGGGCGTCTACTGCATCTTTCATTCGGTTCAGCAACACTCTGTTGAAGACCTTCCCTGGTATTGACAGCAGTGTAATGCCTCGATAGTTTTCACATTTGCTCAGATCTCCTTTCTTTGGAATCTTGACGAGGTGCCCTTCTTTCCAGTCCATCGGCACTTGTTCCTCCTCCCAAATCTTTTTGAATAGAAGATAAAGCATGTTTGTAGTTGCTTCGATGTCTGACTTCAGTGCTTCAGCTGGTATGTTGTCCGGACCCGCTGCTTTCCCGTTCTTGATTTGTCTGACGGCCATTCTTATTTCTTCCTTCGTTGGTGGGTTGACGTCTATGGGAAGATCTGTGTGTGCCGCTTCGATGTCCGGTGGATTCATTGGAGCCGGCCTATTCAGGAGTTCCTTGAAGTATTCTACCCATCTGTTCCGCTGTTGTTGAATTTCGGTGATTGGCTTGCCTTCTTTGTCTTTGACCGGTCTCTCTGGTTTACTGTATTTTCCTGCTAGTTTCTTCGTTGTATCGTAAAGCTGTTTCATATTTCCTTCTCTAGCAGCTTTTTCTGCCGTCGTTGCTAGTTCTTCCACATATTTCTTCTTGTCGGCTCTAATGCTCCTCTTCACTTGTTTGTTTGCTTCTATGTATTCAGCTTGTGCTTGGACTTTCTCTGCTCGTGTTCGGCTGTTGTTTATTGCTGCCTTCTTGTTCTTCCTTTCTTTGATCTTGTCCAGTGTTTCTGTAGAGATCCATTCCTTATGATGGTATTTCTTTAGACCCAGAACCTCTTGACACGTTGAAGTCAATGCTTCCTTGATGCCTTTCCAGTTGTCCTCCATACTAGTTTCTTCTTCATTCAGTAGATCTTGTAAGGCTTGGAACCTGTTGTTGAGAGCTATCTTGAATTCATTGAGTTTGTCAGTATCTCGAAGGAAGGCTGTATTGAACCTTTGTATTGCTGTTTGTCCACTTGTCCAGTTCTTTTTTAGCTTCAGTTTTAAATTGGCCACAACTAGGTGGTGATCTGAAGCTACGTCAGCGCCTCTCCTGGTTC